TTCCTTCCTTCCTTCCTATTAAAATCTAATAACAATGGTGCAAACGTAATGAGGAAAATATTTTTTGTGACCTTTAAACACTTTCTGTTAATTCTGTTAGTGTGTTATTTCCTCTACTGCCGTACTTTTTTTCTCCTATATGTCCCACTGATGGATGTCCACAAACAGCACATTTATGGTGACTTAAAATGCTGAACTGAGACATTTTGTGATTGACATGTCTAAGTGTCTCCAAAGAGTGCAGAGCTGACAGCATCATCTTATCTTTTATAATCTACTTTTCTTGATTTGTTGACGATTTCTGGTACATTTTTATTTTTTGCTTTCCAAACATCCAGCATATCAGATACCTCATTTATCATCTTAAGCAGGAGATACTTCTGATTGGCGGGTGTCATTTCGTTGAAGACTTTCCCTTTTTAACATCCTTTAATGCCAAAATAAAAGTAAGACTGCGTCTCTAAAATTTCCAAACATGTCCTGCTGGAGGAGACACTGGCAAACCAGTTGAATCGTCCAGGAGAGATAGATAAACGCAGAAGTGGGCCAGGGCTACTTTCTAAAAAAAGAGAAAGGAAGAACATTCAAAAAATAAATGGAGACAAGTTTAGTGTGATTGATAGCTTCACTTTGCCAGGTGTATTCTCTACAGAAAAAGGGAATTACAAAATTTAACGGCTTTGCTAAAGACTTTTGTCAGGAATTACGCTGGTAAATTCATAAGCAGAGGGGCACCTTCTATTGTAAAGAAAACACATGGAAGGTGATGGCTGAAAGTGTACCTTTAAATGCATATTCACCCCCAACTGCATTTTCACAGTGACATTTGTAAAGGTGCAGTAGAAAGGATTGATCTCTCTTTGTAAGTCTCATCTATTTCACCTTTAAATAGATTTCTACTGACAATTGGAACCTGCAAAGCAACATTAGTTAGTATCATCTCATAGAGGGGTATGGACTCTATGTTACTCCTCTTCTTCGATATAACACTGATTTTAACCAACAGTTTAAATCAAATAAATGTGGTGTTTGGACGTTTTTATATATTAAATATTGTAGGACACATATTAAGGAAGAAACAGGAAAAAAAAACAACACTAAATGCAAATGAAATGCAAATGCTGCCTTTTAGGATTCTGTCCTGCCCTCATCGGACACAAACAGGAATGATTGTGGTTTGATCTGTTTTAATAATAATTTCTTCCATTTGCTGCTGAAGAAATTTACACACTTCTGGGTTAATGGGCTTTTTTTTTCATTTCTAAAGAGTGGCTGCTTATGCTGTTGGATAATATGGAAACCATACAGGAAGTACAGTAACAGGAAGAAAGTCGATGCTAAGCTTTCAGTCTTTAAAGCAGCAGTTTGCAAATGTGGGAATGGGTCTCGTGAGACATGAGAAAAAAGGAATCGGGTTCAGAGGGCTGTTAGAGCACGCAAACATGGCCATGAAAACCAAAGGCAAAAACAGTTTGTGTCATTTTAATGAGCTTAAAGTTAGAGTTGGTTTATGCTGTTCTTTAAAACCCTGATATATCTCTATTTAGAAATTATTAATGGGAGATCTCAAAACTACCCAGTAGGGTAGAAATAACAAACAACTACTTTAGTAATTGATTAATTGCAACAATAAACAATAGAGTAATAAAGATATCATAACCAAAAACTCAACTAATAGATTGCTCACTTAATTACCTTAGCCTATTTTATAAGTAATAGGAATACACTGAAACAAAAACTAATTATTTATTTTCTTTTCTCATGAAAAAAAAAAAAAAAAATAGGACTAATCTGCAGCTAAAACGTTCCATAAATATATTAAAAAAGCTTGACCCTTTCTGATGGATTAAACTTTAATATTATTTCATAAACAAAGTGCATAAAGTTTCACTTGAATATTTTATTCAGATTTGTTTTTTGTTTTTTTTTTACATCAAAAAGCATTGTTTTTTTCTAAATAAAACACTTCTCGATTGCTTAAATCACACCCATACATAACACTTATCTTGTTTTTGGTGAAAAAATTGACATAAAGGCATTACACTTCTATTAAAAAGAAAACTGCTGATTTATTCAGACTAAAAGGCACAATATGTAATAATTACAGGAATTTATTTATGCAATGTATTATGTATAATATATTGTGATAATAAGTGTGATATTATCATATAAGAACTTAAAG